AAAAAAAAAGAAAGAAAGAAAAGAAAAGAAAGAAAAAAAGAAAAAGAAAAAAGAAAAAGGAGCTTGGAAAAGTGCAACTGGCAGGCACTTCCATCAACCTGGGAACGCCCACGCGCCCACTACGCGCGCCGAATCACAAGCGCAGAAAGGAAAGGAAATGCAAACGCGGGCGCGGGGCGGTGGAGCACGCCTGCAATCCCAGCACCGGGAGGCAGGAGAATCGCCAAACTCGAGCCCAACTTGTGCAGTTTAGCCACTTAGTAAGATGTTGTCTCGAAGCAACAACAACGAAACAACCTCACCCCTCGTGGGGGGGGGACCACAAAGCCTCCTCGGGTCCTATGGTAGCTTGCCAGGTCTGGCGTCAGAACCCTTCCTCCGGCGCGGAATTCTTGGAAATGCAGATTGGGAAAGCTACTTTCCACCATTTGTGGGGTCCACTTGTCGAAGGGAGAGGACGGAGAGGTGAGGCAAGGCAAAGTGAGTCGCCCGTGGCTCCCCAACGCGGAGCCAGGCGCGGGGGCCTGGAGTACCCAAGCTTGCCCTGAAAAGCCCTAAACGCGTCGCTAACCCCGGAGGGGCGCCAGGCTGGGTCGAGGGCCCCCGCCCCGCTTCCGCGCGACGTGATCTGCTCCCTCCGAGCCCGGCTGGGTCCCGCTCCAACCGGTATTCCGGCGCACGGCACTCCCGACAGGCCCAGGACATGCCTGGCCGCGCAGGTGCCCGCGGCTGGCACTAGCGCCTCGTCCGCAAGCCTGCCCGTGCCCAGCAAGGGGCCCCTCGGGGACTTACGATGAGCAAGAAGACCACCCTAAGGATCCTGGTGACCGAGAGCCCGGGCGCCGGCGTGCGCCCTGCCCGTGCGTCCCGCGCCGGCGCCGCCAGGGCCACAGGAGAGGAGCTGCGAGGCGTTCGCGAGGTCTGGAGCGGGAAGAGCAACATCTCTCTTCTGCGCTGGAGAAGTCCTGGCGCTGGGACTCCACGCGCGCTCTTTTATAACCTAAGTCCCGCCCTCTTTTAATCCTGAGCCCTCCCTAGAAATTTCGCAATTGCCATGATTAGCATCCTGCCACCACCCGTCCAAGGTACACCGGATTCTTTTCATTTTGCTCAGCAGCAGGACTGGGCGCGAAGTGCTCGTGCAGCAGCAGCGGGCTGCTCAGGCTGTTACAAACCGGTCCTGACCGTGCTTCTTTCCCAGAGCCCGGTTCTGTTCAGGATCGCGCCGCAAACGGTGATGGCGAATCCCCTTCCAGCGCTGCCACGGACTCTCCCGCTTCTTAGCCTCTTTGCGCTTCCCCCGCAGCCTTTGAAGGCCCAGAGTGCTATTTACTTTTGTGAGCATACCATGTGCACTCGCAAAGAATGGAGAATCTACTAGCGTTAGGATTCGTGGTCCTGCAGGCGGCGCGGGACGCACAGCCAGAGTGCATGCCAGCTCCGGGGCTCCCGGCTATCAACGTTTAAGTCAAAGTGGGGGATGATGTTTTCAGACCACCTAAGGCTTTTTCTTTTTCTTTTTCTTCATTGTTCTGCAAGGGGTGTTGAAAATCTAGCTATGATTGTAGCTATTTCTAGATCTTTCAGTAATTCTGTACGTTTTTGCTTCAAGTTTTTGAAGCTCTACTGTTAAGCACACACACCGTTTGTTATGTGATTCTGATGATTTTTGTCATACTTGGTGTGATCAAAACTTGTGAACATTTTACTTTAAAAATTTTATTTCAGTAAATGACACATTGCTATTGCTCCTCAAAGTACTTCCTCTTGCTTCTCTGAGGAATGTCTTTGTTCTATTTAAAGTTAGTCAGTGGTGTTTGCAGAAGTACCTCTAGGTCCTCTTGTAGGTCTAAATTTCCTGCTTGTAATCCCATAAATTGATTGTAAGTTGGCTGCATGTAGTCATTTTTGTGTATAAAAAACTTTAAAAAAAAAAAGAAGAAGAAGAAGAAGAAGCCGAGCATGGTGGTACATGCCTATAATTGCAGCACTCAGGAGGCTGAGGCAGGAGGATGGCCATGAGTTCGAGGTCAGCCTGGACAACAGAGAATTCAGGGCCAGCCTGAACTGCAAAGTGAGACCATGTCTCAGACAAGAACAGTAACAAAAAGAGTACCTTTGGCAACCCTTTCGCATCCCCTCTCAGTATTGGGAGCTGTTTGTTTTCACTTTACAATAAATGCTTCTTTCTGCTCTCAGACTTCTACAATAAGTACTTTTGCTCAGTCTTCTTTTAACTTCCTGCTTTGTAATTCTTTCTGAGCTGAGAGAAGCACCCACAATCAGATGGTAACACAGAGATTCTCCAAGTTGGGGGATGGAGAGAGTAAACCCACATTATAACTGCCTAAGACATTTGTGCTTTAAAGTTCCAGGTGGATGAAAAGTAAAAGATGGGTGAATACATCGTAAGACCGTGAAATATAAAAAAGGTGATGTGGCCTTCTTACTGTGGATTCAAGACAGGGTGTATTAGAAGGCCAAAGAGGAATATACAAGCTCTGATAAAGGTAAATATTGTCTGGTTAAATTTAAAAATTTATTACAATAAAAGGCACGTTGGCCAGCACCTGCCTGGCAAGCGCAAGGTTGTGAGTTCGATTCCCGGTACCAGAAAAAAAAAACAAAACTAAAAAGACACATTGTCATTAATCTCCCACAAAGTGCTCCCCTTCACTTCCATGAAATTTCACTTCAGCGTCGGTTCAATGAAATCTTGCAAGTTCAAACGAGGCCGTGGTCTGTGGCGATGCCAGCGCCTGGCCTTGACACCTCGCTGAATCTTCCCAACAGTGGCCCTTTTCCTGGCTGCCTGTCCTGGCTGGGGACATCTCTTTGTCAGCACACTCGCCACGCTCTCATCCCCTTCGGGCCAGGGTCATCTGTGAAGTCCACAGGCTCCTGCTGGTCCTCAACACGTACACACACTGATTGTATAGAGTACCGCAGGGAGCCTCTTGTTGGGTTAGGAAAATGACACCCAAACCTTAGAAGACCAACCTAAACCCAATCACACCAGCACAGAGGGCTCGTGGTTCATTCTCTCCCCAAGTTTTTTGTTATCTCTCTGTTTTCATCTGGCTTTAAACCGGATTGATTGTTCCTGTTACATTATCATCGTGGCCAAACTTGGGATATACAATCCACCACTTTGTTTCTCCTTTGTTTTTCAAGGCTATTTCTACCAGATATTAATAATGGACCAATCGATTTCCTTTACCACTTTAAAGACTTTGGTTTCCACTATTGCAGATCAGCTGTCGTTTATACCATGGTTCTCATGAGTGCACCAAAGTTAGTTATGTGCAGAAGTTTATGATGTACTATTATGTGGCCAGGTAGTGTTTTCTTGGGGGTTTTCGCAGCTTTTCAAATCTGTAAGTTGGTGTTTTTGTTTTTGTTTTTTTCCATGTTTGAGAAAAATATTAGCTTCTTTTTTCCTTCACTTTTCACTTGTTCTTATTTCCAATTCGATGTAGTCCCACAGGCCACACAGGCCATTAAGACTCTTCTGTTTTGTTCCTTTCAGTCTTTTTCCTCTTTGGATTTAAAAAATCTCTCTTCAAGCTCAGTTTTTCTTTCTTCTGCAATGTTCAATCTCTTATAAGAACATCTAATTTAAATTTTCATTTCAGATACTAGAAGTTTTTATTCTAAAATTTCCACTAGGCTTTCATTTTATAATCATCCCCTATGCTGAAATAGCCTATCTTCTACTGGTGTGTGAGTCATTCCTGCAGACTCAATATGTATTTTAAAATCCTCTTAAGAAATGTTCTTGTAAATTAGCATTAAGAACTGTAACTATGCTGGGCATGGTGGTACATACTGGTAATCTCAGCACTCAGTAATCTGAGGCAGGATTGCTGCTAATTTGAGGCCAGCCTGGGCTACACAGTGAGATTCTGTCTCACCAAAACCAAAAAACCAAAAACCAAACAAAATCACATTCTGGAAAAGCCAGATGTGGCAGCACATCCCCTAATCCCAGCACTTAGGAGGCTGAGGCGGGAGGATCACGGTGAGTTCCAGACTAGCCTGCGCTACTGGGGAGTAGGTTCAAAGCCAGCCTAACCTGCAGAATGAGACCTTGTCTTAAAACAAAACAAAAACAAACAAACAAACAACAACAACAAAAAACACTGAAAAGGCAGAAATTCAACCCTGAAGGAAGAGAGATAACAATAGCAGTCCATGTTTATTAACCTCTGTATACAATAATTTTATAAATATTTATTGAGAGTTGATAATGTACCAGGCATAATGTCTACAAAGATGCAAGGCCTGAAATCCAAAATACACAAAGGGCTTAAAATTCAACAATTAGAAAATGAGCAACCCAATTTAGAAATGAAAGAGAAAATATGGGTCAAAGAAATTATAAAGGTAGAACATTAGCCTATGCAAATATATGCCCAGTATCATGTTTAATTGGAGAATTGCCAATGGGAACACGAATGAGCTCTCATACCTACACCTAGCAGAATAATTAAGATCTAAGACACTGCTAACATCAAATGCTGGCAAGGACCTAGAAAAGCTTTAATTCTTATTTATGACTGATGGAAATCCAAGAGTGGCCTAGTGACTTGGGAAGATATTTCATGAACTTCTGACAAAGCTAAATATGCTCTTACCATAAAATCTAGCAATTGTCCTCCTGAGTATTTACCCAATGAGTTGAAAATCTATGTCTACAAAAAAACCTGCACTTGAATATTGATGCCACCATTAGGCACAGTTGCCAGATGTAGGAAGGAACAAAGATATTCTTATAAATGGATAAATGGATAATGATTAAAAGGTAAATTGATTTTTTAAAAAAAGCTATGGAGTATTGCTCAGTGATAGAAAGAAATGAGCTATCAAGCAATAAAAAGGTATGGAAGAAGTTTAAATGCATATTGGGAAGTGAAAGAAGACAATTCATAGAGATTACTACACTGGCTGGGCGTGGTGGCACACACTTGTAATCTCAGCATTTGGGAGGCTGAGGCAGGAGGATTGCCATGAGTTTAGGGCCAGCCTGGGCTACATAATGAGTAGGCCAGCCTGAGGTACTTTTTTCTCTCCCTCTCTCTTTCTCTCTCTCTCTCTCTCTCTCTCTCTTTCTCACACACACACACACACACACACACACACACACACACACACACACAAAAGATTACTACTCTGTAAATTTCCCTGAAGAGACGTAGGCTTTGGAAGTACTAGCTAAACATATTAAAACAACTGTTTTAAGTGTGCTGAAAGAGCTAAACAGGCAAAGAACTAAAGGAAATCACGAAGATAATGTATGAACAGAACGAAAAAATCAAGGGGTAGAATTTATTTAAAGAAACCAAAGAGAAATTCTGGAATAGAAAAACACAATAACTAAATTGAAAATTCACTAGAAGGGTTCAACAGCAGATTTGATCAGGCAGGAGAAAGAATCAGTGACCTTGAAGACAGAATATCTGAAATAAATAAATATGAGGATTAGAAAAAAAAAAGGAGGAAAATGATATGGTTTTTTTGGTGCAGAATAAAATAAAATAAAATAAAAAAACCTTCATTGCAGGCACAGAGAAGACCACAGGAGAAAGGAGGGACATGGGGCTTCTGAGGGCCTGGCCTGGGGACAAAGGCTGAATAGGGCCAGGTTGGAGGCGGGGCTTAGGGGATGGATCACACGACACAACAGACCGGGACTGGGCAGGAGGTGGGAAAGGTAGATAGGATATTACAAAAAGGGAAGTAGGAAGCTATAATTTGACTCAGAAGAAGAAGGGTGGGGCTTAGCGCATGGCCTCCAGTGGCTGATGCCGTATTGGCTCATCAGAAGTTTTAGTGAGGCGAGAAACCCATCATTCCCACCTTTTGGTTATAGAGGACGGCAACTCCTCTCAGACTGTTTCCTGCTGGATAGAGGCATCACTATGATAAGGGGCAAGAGGATGATGGATGTCTCCTATGCAAAAGCTGGTG